CCTAAAGTTTGCCAACTATTCTTTTCAACATGCACCAGCGGGAGAATAACTAGTATTTATTTTCCCATGTAGTCGCAGGAACCTATAGAGGGGCGAGAATAAGGATTCTAGGCATCACATCTTTTGCGCAACCATATGTTCCATTGTTGCATCCAGATTTTAAACAAATTGCACTACCCCTGTGCCAAACGATACCGGGCTTATATAGCTCCTCGATTTTCTTGTTAGGGGTTCATTGATAGAGGCGATCAGGAGGTGACTTTCATCCCCTCGAGCCACCGGCACCACCACGGTTTCCCCTGGCCTCTGCTGGTCACTGCAGCGATGGGAGGTTCGGGGAACCCCTAATCTAAGTGTCCCGATTTGTGTCTCATAGGGTCTTCGTCGCTGTGAAGTTGGAGTAGTGCAGGAACAGAGCCAGGAAGTTTTTATGAGGAAGGCCAACGATACATTTATGATCACTGGAGTTGGCCATACATAAAAGTTTAGGCATTAACTCTGTATATCCACATATGATATATGGGTAATTTAAGAAACAAATAGCATGGGGGGTCATGGCCCCAGCTTGCCCCCTACTGACTCTCCCTCTAGGGTAGTGGCGTCGTTGGGAGTAATTCTTTCTCGGCTTTCTACATGTTGATGTCCATCCTCAGAGTGGCGTCGATGAGTTGGAGGATATTAACGTTTGTCGGGCACTTGGTCTAGTGTGAATAGTGTTTGTGCACATCGGCAGCACCCTACGGAGGGGGTGACGTTGCAATGTGTTTTTTGTTCTCTAGTTTCATCTCTAGTGGATGAAGCTCAGCCATATAAGGCTTCGTCATGTAACTTGTGAGATTTATGTCCCCATCCTTCATTCGGTTAGAGTTGGGATTTTATCTTCTTGCCTACTTTGGGGCGGGACAATGATCTAACTTCCTGGCCGCTGCCCTATGAGCTCATGTGTTTCAATAAGGTTGCTCCGGTGAGACAGGGAGTCGGATGTCAACTATTGTTCTTGCCAGTGAGACAGGAGCTTTACTCACGGCTTGCGGCTGATCGATGAAGAAGAAGAAGAAAGGAAGACCGTACGATTTTCGTAAGGACTTGTCCGTGTTCTTAAACTGTATTGGGCTTGCATGCAACTATTGTTCGAGTATGCCAACAAATCTTAGTGTTTTATCAAATGAAACAGGTTTTGTGTAGAGTATATTAGCATTTTTTTTATTAATCTAATTCATGAATAAATTATGAGCATGACGTAAACAATACTAACATACTGATACTTGATCATAATATCTACTACACAGATAATAGAAACATCTATGCAAATCACTAGTACAACACACGCGGAAATAAATAGGAGCCGGATAAATGTGTTATACCTTACAGTAGGCCAATTGGCAATAGCGGCGGCGCGCGGCAGCCTCCTCGGTCGCCTTCTTATCAGCAACAGCCTTCTCGGCAGTGAGTCTCTCGGCTTCATTGGACATGGTAATGACAGAAGTGACGTGAACGTAGACGACGTAACGGATGCAGACGAATTCATGTAGGAGACAGTCCCCAAAAATCTAATCACCCCTCCCCTGTCTCGTATTCATAGAGCGCCTGTTAATCGCACAGGTATGAGGTCTTCTCGGCTCATTCCCGCGTTCACATCGTTGCGGGAACCATTTCTCTTCTCAAACTTCAATAGCATGTGGAAAAGAATCCCTTATAAAAAGGTCTAATTCCTCCCTCTCTTAGCAGCGTGAGACTAAACTGCCCATTATATCCCTTGACACGTACAAAGGCGCTTAGAGATTTTCCCACCCTATGTTTCAACATTTTGCCTGCCGCTAGAAATGGTTTACGTACCATAAACCCCAGAATTAAGCTCTGTTTTTTTTAGCAAAGTGGAGTGAACACCGAACTTCGGACTGAAGCAACCGTGAGCTGATTCGATAGCGCAGGGTAGTGTGGTAAATGGGCACGAGCGCACGCACATGTAAATGGGCACGACCGTCAGCCCGCCACGTACGGCCGGGAGCTGAGTTAGGAGTACGTACGAGAAGCGCTGGAACCATCCACCCGGCGTCTCCCGCCAACGGCTACCGGAAGCAGCTTGGTGTAGAGCCCCATGCGCGTCTCCGGCCACGCGTCCAACACCTGTAAGCCGCGGATCACACCTGTCCCGCTTCTCGCTCCCTATATATTTTATCCCACTACACTCCAGATCAAATCACCCACAGGCCACAGCTAAGCTTCCATTCTTCCATCCAGCGACGTAGTGCACGTGCAAACAAGTTGGACGGAACCATCCAGCAATGGCGGGCGTGAGCCGGAGCATGGTGGCGCCGCTGCTGGTGCTGAACCTGGTGATGTACATCGTCGTCATCGGGCTCGCCAGCTGGAACCTCAACCACTTCATCAACGGCACCACAAACTACGCCGGCGTGGCCGGCAACGGCGCCACCTTCTACTTCCTCCTCTTCGCCATCCTGGCCGGCGTCGTGGGCGCCGCCTCCAAGCTCGCCGGCGTGCACCACGTCCGCACCTGGCGCGGGGACAGCCTCGCCACCAGCGCCTCCTCGGCCCTCGTCGCCTGGGCCATCACGGCGCTCGCCTTCGGCCTCGCGTGCAAGGAGATCCACGTCGGCGGGCACCGCGGCTGGCGCCTCCGGGTGCTCGAGGCCTTCATCATCATACTCGCCTTCACCCAGCTGCTCTACGTCATGGCGCTCCACGCCGGGCTCTTCGGCGGCCAGTTCGGTGGCGCAGGTGCGTACGGCGCGGAACACCAGTACGGCGACCACCACCACAAGGGCATGGGCACCGCCGCCCCCGCAACCGCCAGGGTCTGACCGTCTTGAGCTTTAATTACTTTGCTTAATTTCGTGATGGGCGCAGATGAACAAGATGTATGTATGTATCTATCAATATGTGTGTGTGTGTGTGTGTGTGTGTGTGTGCGCGCGGCTAGCATGTGTGCATACATGGTGTTTGTGCATGTACATGTACTGCAGTTGTTTTTTCAAGGACTGTAGGTACACGTACTAGTTATGGTCCTGTTCAATTTCCATCTACGTAGTTTAATTTCCATCTACGTAATGTCTACTCGCTGTGCATGTGCTGCCGTTGTCTTTGGAAAGACTGTACGTACATGTACTTCTGGTCCTGTTTAATTTCTTGTATCTCTACTCCCTCCGTTTCAAATCATTTCAGTCCACATGTAGTCCATGTTGAAATATTCAAAACATCTTATAATTTGAAATGGAGCTAGTAGTAGCTAGCTTGTTTTGAAGCTTGATGTCCATATTGAAATATTCTAAAAATCTCATGATTTGGAATTTTGAAGCTTGATGCTTGTATCGCATCGATCGGTGTTGATTGGTCAGCCAACGTGCAAGCTCGTCGTCTCTTGCAGTTGCAGGTGACTTATGGACGAACCATGAACATTTTGAATCTGTGAGCATTTTTTAAATTTTGTATACATTTTCCAAATTTATGATATGTTTCAAATCCTCCTACAGTTTTGAATTCATGGATACTTTATTAATTCGTGAACATTTATTAATATGTTGTACTTTTTTTCGAATTTGTAACATCTTTGAAATTTTGTGAACATTTTTAAAATCCACAATTGTTTCCAAATAAACGAGTTGAAATAAAAAAAGTGAAAAAAAATATCAGAATTGCATTTTTGCGGTGCGCTGGTTGGCTGGCTCGCTGCTCTTTTGCCATGCGCCAGGCTAGTGCCGTTGGGGGATTCTCGTGAACGACGCTATGTTTGTGCTTCCAGCAAACGATATATAGCGCAAAGGGTAGTACATCCATATTTTTATTAGTGCGAGTTGTAGAGAGCAACTAATGGAAGAGCGTTCGTTCAAGAGCCTTTTCAAGGGTCACTTGGGGTGGGCCGAGAGCGCGTCACAGGCATGCTCTCCGCCGTTGCCACGTGTCGCGTTCTGGGCGTTTCCTTTAATTTTTTTGGCATGCATTTTCAGTTTTTGAAATATTTTTTTCTTCAGATTTTTTTCTTTTCTGTTTTTCATTGGTCTTTCTTTGTTTTTGAACAAACACATTGAAAAAATGAGTTTTTTTCTGTTGTGAGAGGTTTGCTTCCGCGAGATCCACTACCGTACCTCTCGGAAACGGGATAAAATGCGTTCCTTTTTTTTTCTTCCACGAAAGGTACGGCCGTGCCCCTCGTAAACTAAAAAAAAACATGTTTTATTCCTTCCGCGAGACGCTACTTTCGTGCAATGAGTGCTCCTTAATTACTGATTTTGCGAGTTGTATCTCTACATATGATTTGCGCTCCGCCTTAGTGGGCTGGTACAATAAAGCGGCTTTGGGAAAATTCTACAAACCGTTACCGACCATTTTTAGAACGTTCCTCACGATTTTCTTCCTTTTCTTTTTTTAATATTTTTCTCATTTACATGTATACTTTTTTAATACATGTACATTTTTCATATATATGGGGAACATATTTTTATGCACATTCAGCATTTTTCAAATGCATGATGCCTTTTTTTCAGGAACATGTCAGAATACATTTTTTAATGATACGCATATTATTTCAAATACCCATTGAATATTTTATGGAAAGGACGACATATTTTTTGAAATTAAGTGATCATTTCTTTGTAGTGCGTAAACATTTTTTAAATGTCATGAATACATTTTTGAAACTTGTGAACATTTTACTAGAGGTCACGTTTTGAAAATTGTAAAAAACCCTTTTTCAAATTATGTTAACATGTTTTACATTATATATTTTTAATGGAAACAATATTTTTAAAATTTACACAAACATTATTTATGTTGTATAAACATTTTTGAAAAATGCCTGAATACCTTTTAAATGTTACAAACAATTTGTGAATATACAATCATAAAAAAATGCATGAACAAACTTTTTACACTGACTCAATATATTCAAAATTTGTTGTGAAGTTTTTATTAAATTGTAAGTTAATAAATTTTTAAATTTATGTATTTAGACTATTTTAAAATATATGAAAAATTAGAAAAAAGTAATAAACAAAGAAAGGAATGAACGAGAAGCAAGAAAGAAAGAACAAACGAACAAGTAAAGAACGAAGCTACTGGGCTGGTCCAATAATAGTGACACCTCCTTCGGTCGCTGTGGGTGAGACAAAGCGATGCTAGGATATACATCACTAACTAGTGAGTAGTGCAAGTATAATTCCCAGACTATTTCTGGCCTACTGCAAGACCTATCGTAGCCTCGCCTCTGGTGATGGGAGTGCATCGTCTTAGCCCGTCAACCCGTTTAGCGGTTTTGGGAAGGTTCTATAGACGAGTTTGGACCAATGTTTGAATCTTTCATGCTGTTTTTTTTCTGCGTTTCTTTTACCAGTTTTCTTTGTTTTTTCTTTTTCTTTACCTCTTCTTTTTAAAAATATACATCGCCTTTTTTAGTACATGTTATATATATTTCTTACACACATGTAATGTTTTTATACACCTTGCACGTTTTTCATATACACGATGAATTATTTTTTGAATACATGTTGGACATTGTTTTAAAAAAAGTGTACAAATTTTTATTACAGGAACGCCACAAACATCTTTTATATATTTATAAAACAGTTTTTAAATTTACTCAAACATTTCTTTACATTGTATAATTTTAATAAATGCCGCAAACATTTTTTGAAACATTGAACATGTTTTAAATGGCACAAACATTTTCTTTTTTATTATACAAACATTTTTTTCAAGACTGCATGAATATTTTTGTAACGCCCTCGATGCGGCTATATCTCTCACGTGTCGAGGCACGACTTAGAGGCATAGCCGCATTGAAAGCAATGTCGCAAGTCGGAAAATCATCACACATCCCATGTACATAAATAATATAAAGGGGGAGAACATAGCTGGCTTACACTCGTCACGTCACATCAAAGTACATAAATAACATCCATCATACAATTCACTCATGGCCCGACTATGACGCCAAAATAGAAAAGACCCCCAACATGCGACAAGGCCCTGAATCTACCCCGACTGGGCACCACTACTGATCATCAGGAAAAGACACATAGTAACGCTGAGAGTCGTCGTCGTACTCCCACTTGAGCTCGAGCGCGCCATCTGGAGCTGTATCATCTGTCCCTGCATCTGGTGTAAAAGTAATCTATGAGCCACAGGGACTCAGCAATCTCGCACCCTCGCGATCAAGACTATTTAAGCTTAATAGGTAGGAAAGGGGTAATGTATAAGTGGAGCTGCAGCAAGCGACTAGCATATATGGTGGCTAACTTATTCGCAAAAGAGAGCGAGAAGAGGGGGCAAAGCACGAGCGAGAAACTAGAGAGCAACCTGCGCAAACATAACTCCAACACCGTGTCCACCTCCCGGGCTCCGCCGAGAAGAGGCCATCACGGTAACACACTCAGTTGATTCATTTTAATTAATTAAGGTTCAAGTTATCTACAACCGGACATTAACAAATTCCCATCTGCCCATAACCACGGGCACGGCTTTCGAAAGATCAATCCCTGCAGGGGGGGTCCCAACTTAGCCCATAACAAGCTCTCACGGTCAACGAAGGAATAGACCTCCACCCAAGACACACCGATCAGACTCGGTATCTCGGTACAACAAGATGATTCGACAGGTCAAAACAAGTCCAGCAACACCGCCCGAATGTGCCGACAAATCCCGATAGGAGCTGCACATATCTCTTTCTCAGGCACGCTCGGATAGGTCAAGCTACGAGTAAAACCAACCCTCGAGTTTCCCCGAGGTGGCCCCGCAGGCTGCCTGGTTCGGACCAACACTCAGAGGAGCACTGGCCCGGGGGGGGGGGTTAAAATAAGATGACCCTCGGGCTCCGGAAACCCAAGGGAAAAGGCTAGGTGGCAAATGGTAAAACCAACGTTGGGCATTGCTGGAAAAGCTTTAATCAAGGCGAACTATCAAGGGGTTCCCATTATAGCCCAACCGCGTAAGGGACGCAACAATCCGGGAACATAACACCGATATGACGGAAACTAGGGCGGCAAGAGTGGAACAAAACACTAGGCGAGAGGCCGAGCCTTCCACCCTTTACCAAGTATATAGGTGCATTAAGATAACATGGCAATATAATGGTATCCCAACAAGTAAATAAATATTTTAACAAGGAACGGCTCCAATCTTCTCCTGCAACTAACAACGCTATAAGAAGGGGCTGAGCAAAGCGATAACATAGCCAATCAACGGGTTGCTAGGACATGGTGGGTTAGAGGCTCAATCATGGCAATTGGGAGGCTGACAAGCAAGTGGTAGGCATCGTAGCATTGGCAAAGCAAAAGAGCGAGCAAACTAGCATAGCAAAGATAGTAGTGATTTCGAGGGTATGATCATCTTGCCTGCATAGTTGTCAGAGTTGACTGGATCCTCAAAAGCAAACTCAACGGGCTCCTCGTTAGCGAACTCGTCTCCCGGCTCTACCCAACAACACAAACAAGCAACAAGGATACAATCAACCACGTGCAAGGGCAACCAATAATATGCAAAGATGGTATGCTATGCGGGATGCGATGCGGGATGCAAAAATGCAAGACGTGACAGGAAATGCATGAACTTGGCCTCAACTTGGAAAACCAAGTGTGCCACTGGATAGAGGGGAAGAAATCACCTGAAAACGATATAAATATCATAGGAATCGGAGCTACGGTTTGGAAATGGCAAGCGTTTTACGAAACGAACCGATCTGCGATTTACAGCAAGTAGGCTCCTAAATGCATCGAAATGAACATGCTAAAGCCACCAAACATGAAAACAAAATACATGGCAGGGATGTACACAAGATGCTTAACAAATCACTAGGACTGAGCCACGGCCA